ATACTGTCAAAGTACAGCGGGAAGACTGGGGAGTGTTGAGGGGGGTAAGAGATCAACCGAAGGACTTGTATGCATGCATATAAGCATAACCAATGGACACAAGACGCTGTGGGGGTGGGGTGAGGGCATATGCCGGAGGGTGAGGAGGCCGGGGGAAGGTCAATGGGGAAAAAAAAAAGAGACATATGTACTACTATTTGTAATACTTTAAACAATAAAATTAAATTAAAATTTAAAAAATAAAGGAAAAAAAGGATGCAAAATAAACATTTTTTAAAAAAAGAAAAAATTCAAAAATACAATTATTTCCCTTCTTTCATCCATCAAATATTTTTTTTGTGTGGTTCTTACGACTTACCATGCCCTCAAAGCCAACTCTGTAAAGGTTCTTAGCACCATTATCCCAGAGAACATATGCTGCGCTATGTGGGCTTGATGCACTCCAGTCTTGGATTTCTGTTACCTATAAGAGAATTTTTTGAGAAAATTATTTTTTTAAAGGGAGATAGAAGAGGTTGGTTCTTTTAATTATATTTAAATCTTAAAAATTATGTTATTATTCTGTATAACAAGATATGAATAATACTTAATTGCCAAATATATGTCACTTGTAACACATAATTGAATTATAATAAGGTATTTTTCCAGAATTATAAGGTAATTTCTAAAACCACTACAGAAATTTTAAATTGAAAGGCTTAGTGATTATAATAGGTTTTCAGAAAATACAAAATTTTAAATCTTTACTCTTAAAGGTTCATTTTAAGAAGAGTGTTTTCTTTTAAACTCACTATTTAATACAAAAATTCAAAATCTTTGACCAAATATACAGAATGATTCAAGATTAATCTGCTCTCTGGTCAGCTAAAATATGATAAGCATGAGGGTCGATGGCAATGTTCAAGGAGACTTGAGTGATTTTGTTTCCTAGAAGTTCCTTCAGTTGCCTCAAAAAGCAGGCCATCTAAGCTAAAACATCATGTGTATCTACCATGAAAATCCAGACACAATCTCAAGGCCCAACATGGCACCAGAGTCTAATTCATAAACTTATTATTTTAAAAATTTACTGGTTTTGCTGTGACCGGTTTGGCTCAGTGGATGGAGCGTCAGCCTTAGAACTGAAGGGTCCCGGGTTCGATTCCGGTCAAGGGCATGTACATTGGTTGCAGGAACATCTCGAGTGGGGAGTGTGCAGGAGGCAGCTGATCGATGTTTCTCTTTCATTGATGTTTTTGGCTCTCTTTCTCTCTCCCTTCCTCTCTGTAAAAAATCAATAAAATATATTTTTTAAAAAAAATTTACTGGTTTACTACAGCTTAAGGGCCAAGAATCAACTACACAAAAATGATACACAATGAGCACTAAATGTGGGTATTCTCAAGTAAACCAGTCTACAGCTAAGAATGGGAAATAGTACATGTTCACTTATTACTTTTCTCCATGTTGACGCTTACAATCAGCCATCCTTCATAGTTACTTAGAATGCTAGCATGTTTAAGGAATTACCTGAAAAGCAGATTATTTCAAATACGACATATAATGACCCTTTCATTTTTACACTGTACTAAATAAATCATTTTGTAAGCTATGTATTTTATGGTGCTGTTGTAGAGAAAAAAATTTTAAAGTCTGTGTCATCTGAAGAAATCACAGGAACTGAAAAGCCCTCTTTTGTATACAGTGGTGCCAAATGGATTTTTTTCAAGTTAAATTCTGTCACTATGGTGTAAGAGAAAAACATTGATGGGTTGCCTCTCGCATGTGCCCTGACTGGGGATCAAAACCACAACCTAGGTATGTGCCGTGATCAGGAATCGAACCCACAACACTTTGGTGTACAGGATGATGCTCCAATCAACTGAGCCATCCGGTCAGGGCAAGTGTAGTTTTTATTGTCTGACTTTTTTTTACTTGATTCCTTCCACAACCACACAGAGACTGGCAGAAGGGAAAAAAAGACTGTTAGGAGGAGTGGAGATGTGGAAGGGGGTGGTCCCACATCCACGTGTGTCAGATAAAAATCAGAAGGAATATCTGGGCTGCAGCCCCACACCAGCCCACACAGCCCAGGGTTCCAAACCATGAAGAGAAGTCTTCATAATCTCTGGCTGTAAATCCAACAGGGATTGTGGCTGAGTGAGACAGACAACGGCTTAAGTCCCAAGTGTTCCTCTTGAAGGGGCCCACAGGAGAACAGATTTACTTGCTCTGAGCTACAGTGCTGGGACAGCAGCTCAAATGGTGCAGGAACCTATGAGGAGGAACTAATTGCCTGGCATTTGGACAAGAGCTGAAGGAACAACTTTTTTCCTGATATAAGTGCTGGCAGAGGTCATTGTTCCTTTTCTGAGCCCTCCTCCCAAGGAGCTGGCAGACAATGCCATATCTGAGTCTTCATCAACGTGGCTAACACTGTTAAACCCACCCTGGTTATTCCCTGAGACCTTGCCCCACCCAACTGCAGCCCATCTATGCATATCCAGTGGCTTTTCCATACAAATGGCCTCTCTTGGCTCATGCTTCAGACTTTTCTAAAATCTCTCAAATAAGTGCATCTGGCCTTGATATGTGTCATACCTCTCACTTAGTGGCCCAGGCCTGACAATAGTGGCAGCCAGCCTTGGTTCACAGGCTGGCCTCTCCTGGGCACCTCCAAGCCCAGCACAAATAGCAGCCATCTTCAGAATGCTTTGTAGCTCATGCCAGGTGGCCCCAAACTTGGCCAGCTCCTGCCTGGAGGCCCCAGAGTCAGCACACTTGGTGGACAGCTTCAGAACACATCAAAGTACCACCCAACTGCCTTCATGAGCAACACACTCAAGAAGCAGGCTCAGAAGGCATCAGAGCCCAGCTGAAGTAAGTCCCGTTCCATGGTGTCAGAGCCTGCACAGCTGATCCTCCATGGTGGTGGTAGCCAGTCCTCACAGCTGACTGATCTGGAAGTAAATTCCTCCCACTGAGGTGTCAATAGCAATCAATGCTCAACTACAACAAGAAGATGTACACTGCCCACTCTGGGGAGCTGGGAAGCTCTCCTGGAGTGACCGGCTCAGGTGATCAGGGAAGCTGTGCCACTGGACCCTGTAGGACACTATTAATTAATGCCACCATACAAAGTCCAGGAAACGTAGCAGCTCTACCTAATACATAGAAACAAACAGAGGAAGGCTGCCAAAATGGGGAGACAAAAAAAATATATCCAAATGAAAGAACAGAAAAAAATCCCAGAAAAATAAATAAATAAAATGAAAACAAGCAATCTACCAGATGCAAGGTTCAAAACACTGGTTATAAA